CTGACCTATGCCTTTAGAAGCTTCGAGTCGCATCATCGCGAGGAAGTACCTGGACCCCCAAAGTATGTAGAATAATAGCCTTTTATAGGTATTGGGCCATTATTTTACCTACTTTGGGGGGCTTAGGTAGGGGATCACTGGCCCTGGCTTCTGTCAACTACATCCTCGCAGGTCTCGGGATGAATGGGGTTCGGGATCCGCCGGAGATGGGAGGGTTTGGGGTTTTTAGTAGAAGCCTAACACTTGGAAACCCAATAGCCTCAATCCTTAGAGTAATGTATAGGGAATCCCAGTACCATTTGGCCTGAATCCGGTTTCTGACTTTCCAGGGTTTACTGTAGGCTCTTGGGTCTTGGGGCTGCGTGTAGGATATCCGTTACCCAGCTTCGGAGATAAAACCAATGTCCAAGTTTTGCAACTGAAGAGCCCCAAACCCGAAAGCTGCAACCGGACTCCGACAGGCGAAACCGACTATGGGCTTTTGTTTAACAAACTCTTCGACTAGGTGTGGGCGGGTGAATATTTCATGATTAGATCTACAAGGGGCCACCGTAAGTCCCGAAGGACATGACATTCACGTCACAGCAAGCCCGGGAGCCTACTTTAAGCGGCCACCCCGCTTGTTTGCATGGTCCCGATCGCCCTGCAAAAAGGCCATGGCAGCTTATTTCTTAAGGCAGCTGGAAGCCCGTAGACCCAAAACGGCCCTCAACCCCGAACTCCTAAACAACTTTAAGCTTAATTAATTTAACCCTAAAGCTAAACGACACTAAGTCCTAAAGCCCCAAACCCCAAAATGTGTGTACCTTCCCGAGGTCGGTACTGGCAAGTGTGAGGCAGACTCGCCTGCCGCACTCCAAACCAGCGGACCCAACTTCACACATTTTTTTGGTGTCTGTTGAAAGTGCATCGGACCTTTTCGAGCAATCCCCAGCAAGCCCACTCATCATTTAGGGTTTAGTGCCGGGTTTAGGGCTCAAGAAATTAAACCCTTGTTGATCACCCCTGGCTCCACCGCGAAGGATTCAGTTATAGCCGAAGCAAAGATAGAGTACATCTTCGTGCACGCGGTCTTTTATTCTGAAAAGCTAGAACAAGACACATCCCCAAAACATCAGAAGGCTTCTATCCTAACACTCCAGATGCCACAATGTAGGTAGCATCTGCAAACACGTAGACCTCAACTAAACATCTTTTTCTGGTAGTTATTTTCTGTCTCCGCTGTCAAGGATCCCCAAAACAAAACTGTGTAATCAAGCAAAACCAGCCCTTAGACGTAAGACAGAAATCATCCTAAACTACACCGCTCCGACTCGACTACTCTTATATAGAAAGGGCCCTAAACCTTGAACCCTAAACCCTTATCAAATAGCTCCTGTTACGAAAGGCCCATCAGAAGCCTGCCGCCCGCCGGGCCGTCGACCGACCGAAGAACGCAGCGAGGAGAGCCTGACTTGGTGACTAATCAAGTCATGGGAGTTTCCGAGAATTTGGGGTACCTTATGTCGGGGTCCTTATAATAAAGATCCTACTATTTCGGGTACTTTCTTAGGGTTCTCTATTTTCGGAAACCCCCTTGTATCACTACCATTAACTGGCTTTTGGGGGTCTTGGGTGTATGTTTGCATATGTGAGCTTATGGGCTGCGTCCGCCCATCGGATCTCTATGCCCCAAAATTGAGATAAGCGAGATATAAACTTACAGCGATTTTGACGAGTTTTCGGAAGGACGTTGCAGGATTCTGGTCCGCAAGTTAGTCCAAGTTACAATCGTCTATTAGTTGTGGCAAGTTGAAGAAGATCCTGAGCAAGATTCAAGTCAATGCAGGCTGTTTCGATTGGGGCTATTTGGGTTTAGGGGTGGAGGAATGCTCTAAACCAGATACCCAACCAACCTCTAGACCCAAATTCTAAATCCATACCCCGAGCCTTACTTGGAGGTTCATAGGTAGTTGTAGGTAGGGTTATGAGTCCCCCAAAAGGGGTTGTAACTCTAGTTATCCTACTTATCACCCAACTTGTGGCTACCCATAAAAACCACGTAAGCGCCATCCCGAAGGAAAACTGAGGCGCCCTGCCGCTGCCACGGCCGGCTGGCCAACCGAGGGCCCATGTATGTCAAGACTGTCCTCCCGCAGCTTTGGTTCAGGTTAAACCCTAAACCCTAAACCCTAAACCCTAAATTTCATTGTTAATAGGGGCCTTGAAGGTTCTTACAGGTGTTATTATGGTTAAGTCATAATAGGTTTTCCATAATAAACGAGGTTTGAAGGGCTCCTTCCTAGGATATTAGGGGCTTGGGCATCACTAATGCTGTTCAATCTAGGGTTGACGGTTTCGTAACACTATATAGGCATAATTGAGGGTTTTGGACTGAGAGTTTTGGTGCAAGAGTTCCGGGCTATGGCATCGAGAAGGCTCGGATTGCCTGAATTCTGACCCCTCGGCAAAATGGGTATGCCCTACATGGCAAGAGCATGCGCGTGTCCTTAGGACATAT